GAAATGATGATAACGTCATTCTTTCATGTAAAAATAAGTTTCTTTTATACAGAATCTCATGTAATCCAGGCTAACACCAAATTTGCCATTAGCTGAGAATGACCTTGAACTTCTGATCCTCCTGTCTGTACCTCCTGAGCTCGGGATTATGGGCATGTGCCATCATTTACAGCTTTCTTCCTTCTAGGACTTGTGTTCGCCTGTCCTGTGCATGGGTTAGAGCCTTTAAATACAGGTTTTCCCATCTTAAAGATCTGGTTTGTCTTCTTGTCACTGTTTATTTTCTGTTTTCTATTTCCTTGACTGCCTTTGTTTAAGTTCAAAATCCAGACTTACCTCTCTTTGTTCCTTTGGTTAATATAAATGCTTTTCTGACCTTGTTTTTCTATCATGGTGACATGCTCTGTGTTCAAAGATGTAACCACCGTGTCCTCAGGAATCTTATTGACATGAACTAGAAGTTTCTCCTTTAAGAAGTATACTTACTGATTAAGTAAGTATTGGCTCTAATTCTGGAACCCCTTTACTTGAAACTCTAACAGCGTGTCTTATGGGCCTGGTGCATTTGAACATTTCTCTGTTGCTTATTCTCAGAGAGAGAAGCTGGTGTCTACTCAAAGTTTTTCTTCTCTTCCCATCCCCCTCTCTTTGCCGGGGATCTACCCTGTGTTTTTTCAAGAGACTTGTATGAGTCACTACTTGACCGAAATCCAGTATAAGGAAAAAGGTTAGGCTTGTAGTAGATTAATTTGCCAATTAGAGGTTTATCTCCCTGTGAGGCCTGGGGAGGGAGCCAGCTTCAGTTGAAGCAGTCAGATGGAAGTCTGCTTCCAACTAGAGTTTTTCTTTTAGGTATTTGGTGTGGCATTCACTAATCCGTGTTGCCATTGTCAATTGGCATGGCTGCCCCCCTCAGTGGCCAGCTAATGGCATTCTTTTCTCAGAGTTTTCTGGTGAAATCTTCATAGCTGATGTAAATCAGGAGTTAGCGCAGCCAGAGTTGACCTGCTTTGTTGGCCTCTGGAGTCAAAGGCTCTCTTGAAAGAGCTAGTGTGTTTCAAATGTACCCCAGCTCTCCCAGGCCTGGTGCCCTCCCACTTCTGGATACACTCTCAGGTCTGCTGGATTCTCATTGGCTTATTTTCTGTACCTGCACTTGGAACCAGCAACCTCATGAAGAGGGTGTTGTGCCTTAGCTCATTGTGGACCGTCCATGTCCGTTCTCTCCAGCACATGTGTTTGGAGGTATAAGCAGTTTCTAGGGCTGATTCATAATGTTTCTACCCTCATCAATCAATCTGGTAATCTATCACGAGGAATGAGCCTGTGTGTATTTCTTATTGGAAAACTTTAGTTTTCCCCTAAAATGATATTTAATTGCTCATGATCCTTGAGACTCCATTTCAATTTGTATAATGTTTCTGTTCTTTGGATGAGGGTCTATATATGGTTTTCCATTTTGCTTTCTTGTATCAGAAGTAGCTTCCATGTCATTCCTTACTGTTTATATTCATAATCCTTTTTTAAATTAAAAAAAAACTTATTTTGTGTGTGTGGTGTATAGGTGAATATGTGTTCGTGCGTGTCACATGTATTTGCATGCATGTGGTAGCCAGGGATTAACTTGCTGTGTTGGCTTCTGGAGGCCAGATGTCTTTCTCAATGGCTTAACACCTCATTTCTTTGTGGGTGGAGTTTTCCTGTGCCAGTGGCTACTCCTAAATAATCACTCAGAAACTTAATATTAATTGTAAATGCTCAGCTGATAGTTCAGGCTTATTACTGACTAGCTCTTACAATGTAAATTAACCCATTTCTATTAATCTATGTATTGTCACATGGCTCATGGCTTTACATGTCCTCCAGCATGTCTTGCACCGTCTGTGTTTCCTAGCAACTCTAGACTTCACCCTTCTTCCCCCGAGCAGTCTGAGTTTGGCTCTCTTGCCTAACTTTATCCTCTTCAGCTATTGGCCAGTCAGCTCCTTTATTAAACCAATCATAGCAACATATATTGACACAGTATAAAGGAATATTCCACATTTCTTCAGATGAGGAGCTCAACCATTTAGCTAGATTGTTTGAACCATGAACCCAGGGATCCTCCCATCTCTTCCTCCCCAGAACTGGGATCATAGGATTCCTCCCCCAATTCTCTCCTTCTATGTGTCTATATGTATGTGTACATGTGCCTGTGCATGTGGTGGTCAGAGAATAATCTCGGGTATCATCCTTGGGAATGGTGTGTACCTCCTTTGAGACAGGGTCTCTTATTGATCTGGCAGTCACTGACTAGGCTGGACAGTCTGTGAACCCCAGAGACCCTCCTGTCTGCACCTCCCTAGTGCTGGGCTTACAGACCCGTGCGACCACACCTTGAGTTTTGTGTGGGTACTGGGGCTCAGACTCATGTCCTCATACTTACAAGGTAACCACTTTACTAAATGAGCTATCAGCCCAGTCCTCCAGGACCCTTCCAGTTGGAGGGTTGGCCTGAGGAAAGAACCTGGGCGCTGGCATCAGGCTGGTCCTGGTTCAGGTCTTAGAGCTCTCCTGGCTTCGTGGCTGTGGCTGGGTCATATAACGTTTTGAAGTCTCAGAAGTCTCTCTTGTGTCATGAGCATCCAACCGAGACACTGTAGAATGACTGCTACTGAGCTTGGTGTGCAGAGGACTTTCCTTAATCCCTGGCCCCTCTCCTTTCTCTCTTGTTAGTAATATGACATATGACAGCTTGGTTTTGGGGGGTATATCCTTTTATTGTTATAGGCTAGGTGCTTGTGCTCCCCTCTGGACGGTCTTTATACTGTAGCAATGAAAGTTATCTAGAGCTAAAACGAGATGGATCTGAATATGCAGTATGAGTCTTTTAGACTCCCATTTACTGGCTTCTTGTTGTTATCGTGCTCTTTTTTGTCTTCATTTGTGAACACGGAAAGATGATATGAATTATAAATGCATAAGGAAAACAGAGAAATGAAAGCAGGGGTGAGCACAGGGTCATGTGTTAGTATAAAGCAGTGCGCTGTGGGGTCCTGTGATTTTCCTAGGGTAGAATCCACTCTCTGGAGGCTGTTGTAAAGAAAGCCATTGCCCTTTCCCCTGGGCCTTCCATTTAAATTATCAGTGTCCCTTTCTTCCTCCTAAAGGTAGAGCTGAGGAGGATATCAGCATTGGCTCAGGGTAGCTGTGGGATCCCATGCTGACGCTGGGCCGAGATAGCTCTCAAAGCTTGCTTGCTGTGCGTTTGTTCCTAAAGGGAGTACCCTGCATTTAAAACAAGTAAAGTCTGATGTGATTCAAACTACGGTGTGAAGGCCTGATACTTGTGCAAGAATAAAAATGAAATCTTGCAAGCCATAGGAGTCGCTGTGTGGCCAGGGCATTTCTTACAGAGGCTCAGAAGCTTGGAGCCATAGGTACAGCACACTGTGGGATCCAGGGACTAGGATTCACTGTCCAGCTTCACCGCTCCTACTGCACAGGGCTCCTCCTTGGGCCCTTGGATTGTGACTTTTATTATTAGGGAAACTGTCATTCTCCAAGAGTTGAACAGTATTCAGGCATCTCCTGCACACTGGTGAAATTAGAAGGTATATTTGCAGCAGGGGCTGCCTCAGTCCTATATGTTCCTAGTTTCCTATAGGTGCTCAGTAAATCCATGTGTCCTCCCCCTCCCCTTCCCTCTCTCCTCTCCCGCCCCTCCCCTTCTGTCAGTTTTCCTTTTTCCCTTCTCCAGCTCCCTTCTCTCCTTCTCTTATTCCCTCTCCCTCTCCCCTCTCTTCCTCTCCCCCATCTCTCTTCTTTCTTTGTTTCCCTTTATCTTTTCATCACTGGGTTCTTACTATATAGTCCAGGCTAGCACAGAGTCTTCCTGCTTCTGCCTCCTGAGTGCTGAGATTAGAATGCCTTCCTTGATAAATCTCTTTTGAGGGATTGCTAGGTGAGATAAAAGCTACTGGAAACACAATGTTTACTTAGAAGAAGGGGATGTTCGTAACTTCTTCAGGTGAAAATTTTCCCTTTATGGACTAAATTGCAATGCTCATGTGATCATGGCTGATAACCCCCTCTCCCTATATTTTTGAGATGGGGCCTCACTGTGTAACTCTAGCTAGCCTGGAACCCACTTTGTAGACCAGGATGGCCTTGAATTCACAAATATCTGCTTGCCTCTGCCTCTTGAGTACTGGGATTAAAAGTGTGGGGCACCACCCCTGGCCCGTCTTTGGACAGGATCAAGGTCCTAGCTTACTGCTGGGACTTAAGCATTTTTTGAGTTTTCTTAGTGAACATATACATGAGAAAAGCACGCATTTTACTTTATGGTTGTTTAGCACCCTCTCCTTGAGAATGTCAAAGGATTTTAGGGATCCCCTTTCCCTTACCTGGAGGCAGGCAGTCTGATTTATGGAGCACCCCACCTCCCTGAGTTCCTGATCCCTTTTGTCACTTACTCATGTGATGCTGGGGTACTTGGCCTTAAATCTTTAAAATGTTCACCATGTTCTTTGAAGAAATGTAAATATGGAATCTCATCCCGCTCTTATGTCTCAACAAAAACGTACAATTCTCTAGACTCCCTTCTCCAAGCCTCAGGGTTGCTTTTGGTTTTGTTTCCGCAAAAGGGTAGGGAGGGCTAGGGCTGAACTGGAGTTCTCTCTACTGCTTGGTGGTGGAGCTGCTCTTCACCCTTTGTATATAGATGACCAGATCTCAAATGTAGGCTTTAAGAAGGCATTATTTAATGACAAGGTGGCTTCTCTTCTGGGTGCAATCTTCCTGTGTCCCCAACTTGTTGCTGTCTCCCCAGAGCATCTAGTGTGGGCAGGTGGCAAGAGAGTCATGGCTTTTGATGGTAGATCTACCTCAGCAGGCCCCTGTGTTCATTTAGCTAATGGTTCTTGGGAGTGATTTTAGCCTCTAGATCTAGCCGGACTCTTCCCTGGCCCATGTAAGTCCCCTCCTACTCATTCTGGGCTTCCTTATGTCTTTTGCAGGCTTACAGTTCCTCCTAGTATGACCGAGATCTGATCGGCCAACCCAGTCGTTGTCTCTTGTGCCTGGCATTGCAGTGCTGGGGCCATTTCCTCACTCCAAACTACGGCGCTGTCATGGCGGCTGCCTCTACTTCCAGCCCTGTAATTTCACAGCTCCAGGTAAGTGATGTGACTGGGTAGATTTTTGTTGTTGTTAATCATAGCTTTGTGCAGTAGTTAAACGAGTTTTAAGGAAGTATACCTTACTCTGGGTCAAACCCACCTCTCATTGTCACTTGGTGGGTACTTAGATGGGTGCTTTGGAGAAAGAGAGGCTGTGTAGTTGAGGGAGCAGCTGGAAGAATGAACTGGCCTCTGTTCACGGGGAGGAGGGGACGGGGACACACACACACACACACACACACACACACACACACACACACACACACGACAGGTTTACCACACTCAGATGAGGATGCCCAACTGTTGCTATTGTCATTAAACTCCAAAGCAAGACAAGTCAGATTCTACTTCTCTTATTTCTGCTTTCTTTTAGGAGGAGGGTGGTGGTACAAGTATTTCTCAGTTTGATCTAATCTTATAACAAGCCCTCCAAGGCTGCTTCATTGTTCTTTTCCTGTAATTATTATTTTGCCTTGGCCCATTCTGGGAAATTTGAAAACAAAATGGAGTTCTAGAAACTTCTGAGCAGTAGTCCTGTGAAGTGCTTTGGCTGTACATGGGGAGCAGAAATTCTGCAAGGACGCCTTCTTTGTTTAGATTATGGTGTAACCTGCTGCTTTGAGTATATGCTGCCCTTTAGTCTCTGCAGGCAGTGTGGTTCAATGGGAGGGAAACAGACATGGACTCACCAGTGTGCCTTGGACTGGTGCTTCCCTGCCTGCCTCAGCTTCAAACTCCAAACGTTATTATCCTTCACCAGCATTTCAGTGGATAAAACAGTAGCTTGTATGCAGAGCACTCAAGAGCAGTATGGTTTCCTATTCTCCATTTGTTGTGACTCGTCTGTGTCCAGTGTGGCTTCTCACTTATGAGTCGATTTTAGGCAAAGGTTTAAGAAAAAATAGGTACCTTTGAATAAGAGGCATTTTAAATGCTTATAGTTAGTGCACAAAATACTGGGTTTCAGTATGACATTTTCACAATATGTATCATTGTACTTTGCTCATTTTCTCTCACGTCTCTTCTTCCGCCTCTGTCCCTCATACTTGTCTCCTCCCACCCCATCCAGATGCCCTGTTCTGTTTCCATGTCACATATATGGACTGATTTGTTACTCTAAACCACCATGAACAAGGCAACTTAGAGAATGGGTGTTTATTTGGGCTTCTGGTTCAAATGTCTAAGAGTCCATCATTGTCATGGAAAAGCAGCAGGCATGGCCTCTGGAGCAGGCAGCCCAGAGCTCACAGCTTGCAACACAAGCAGAAGCAGAGAGTGATCTGGAAGTGGCCCACCTCCAGGGACATGCTTCCTCCTGCAAAGCCACACCTCCTGAATCTCCCAAACAGCGCCACCAGATTGGGTCCAAGTGTTCAAATACATAAGCCTACGGGAGACATCCTCACTCAAACCACCACAGGGGCATAGCTTTTAAATCTAGCTTCTGTATGTGAGGGACCTGCAGTCTTCTGTCTTTCTTCCCCCACCCCCATCACACAGTCCCGCTGCCCCTCCCCCTCTCTTTAGGCTCCTCTCCCCTCCCTCACAGTCCTGCTCTTACTTCCATGTCACACACACACACACACACACACACACACACACACACACACACACACATACACACACACTGTATAATATAAGGGTTCCCTGAGGACCAGTCACATTGATTGAAATTTACATCTTGATGACACAAGATGCTGCTTTATCCTTTTTTTTTTTCTGTCTCATTTAGAAAGCTGTTATATTTTGTGCATATTTAAAATAAGGATATCTGGTTTTGTTTTTTTAAGAAAGAGTCAATAAAGAGGGAGGAAGAAGGAGGGTCATTCTTCATTTCCTGTAGATCAGCAGTTCTCAACTGGGTTGTGACCCCTTGGGGGGAGTTGAATGACCCCTTCACAGGGATCACCTAAGACCATCGGAAAACACAGATATTTACATTATGATTCATAACAGTGGCAAAATTACAGTTATCAAGTAGCAATGAAAAATTTATGGTTGGGGGTCACAACATGAGGAACTGTATTAAAGGGTTGCAGCATTAGGAAAGTGTAACGAGTCTGAGTCTTTCTCATGGGACTATCTTTGGATTGCCAAACCCCAAATAATGATACAGAGACTTACTTTTAATTATGAAAGCTCGGCTTTAGCTTAGTCTTGTGTCACTAGCTCTTATAACTTAAATTAACCTGCGTCTATTAATCTACCTTTTGCCATGTGACTTTTTACCTTTCTTTCATTTTGTATGTCCAACTCCCTCTGTGTCTTCTTGGTGTCAACACCTTTCTTCTTCCCAGAGTCCTCTTGGTACCTGGAAGTCCCGCCTAACCTCTTCCTGCCTAGTTATTGGCCATTCAGCTGTTTATTAAGCCAATCAGAAGGCTCCTTGACAAAGACACTCTTCATAGTATAAACAACTATTCTGCAGCAGGAAGGTTGAGAACCACTGCTATAGATTAACTTGGGGGGTTTCACTGTGAATAAAGTCCTTGCTGTTCTTTAAATCTTTCAGGGTTTTTTTTGGGGATGTTTGAAGCTTAGTTTCATTTCCATCATGTTATTTCTGTTTTGTTAGCGGGGCCATCAGGATTTCCACACTTGATTACTTGGGTGTCTTGCTTCTTTGAACCCCTGTAGAGTTTTGTACTGTAGGGACTTAGAGTATGGATCAAGAGATTTAGTTTGTGTGACTTTGTGTTACCATTTCAAAGCCCAAGGCAGCTGTTCCTGCGAGTGTCTATTCTTGGCCATTTTTGTGAAGTGAATTAGGCCCTTGTTCGGGCATTTCAGCATCCGTCACTGTCATCTGTCAGCCTTCCCAATAACGTTGATTTACACACCATCTTCCCTGTTATGTAAACTACTGTGGGTCGGTGAGTAATATAAATGCTTTTAACCGACTCATCAAAATGTTCATCACTGTCTAAAGTAGAAATGGATTCTATTTAATATAAACACCTAGGGAAATAGATACTCTTGAAAACTTTCTGTGGGGTTAATTTGGTACAGTGACTTAAGGGGGTGGGTATTAATCAGTATTAATAAATACTGATGAGGCAGTATTTAATCAAGTTGGGTACCTTTGCACTCATACTGGTGTCTAAACACATGAGACCAATGAAGAGTGTAAAAAGATAGTCACACCAAAAAGTTCAAAGTTCCTGATACTGAAAGTCAGGTATATGGATATGATTTAAATGGCGTATAGCAGTTAAAACATGAGCATTTCAACATGGCTGTATTGTCATAAGACACCTTATAAAGGGAAAAGAAAGCAAGGCATAGAATAATCCTCACAGGAAGAGATCATTAAAACTATAAAACAAGACCATGTGTTTTTTAAGGACAAACATATGGCTCATAAACAGAACTGCAGAGGGAAAAAGCCAGCACATACATTTTCAATAGAATTCTATTGCCCCCCAGAGGGTCCAAATTGGATCTGGGGAGATGATAAATCCCTCCAAAGCTCAACCCTACCCTAACGAACTGCATTTTGTAGCGTTTGACTTCTTTCATTAGGGAGAATTTAAATTTAATTAAAATTTTCTCCTTGAGGATCATTATTGAAAAATAAATAAAAATGGCATGAAACACTGCTTTTCGGAAGCATGCACATGGGCCCTGTAGTCACACTGCTTGAGTTGATCCTGGCTCTGACACTTAGTGCTGAGCCTGAGGGAATGTGTTCACCCTCTCATTGCCTCCATGTCCCGCTTGCCAAATAAACAGAACGGTGAAGAAGCCAGCCTGCTGGCATTGTTTGAAAAACGTCATGTGCATTCAGCTCAGAACAACGGCTCGTGCCTTATTGTCCTTGCATGTTGGCATGTATTGTTGTTACTGCTCAGCAATAGGACAGGCCTCTACAGGCAAGAATAAATAAGATAAGTAAGGTTGTTGCCTTGATAGAGTTTGAAATGTGGTGGAAGGTGGACAGATAAGGAAATGACAAGTTCAAATGCTGTGTCACCATGACTGTGACACAGGGAGTATGGCTGTTCTGGGAACCAGCACTCGGGCTTGTCGAAAGAAGACCACCAGACAAGGGGCCCGTGCACGGATCTGAGCTCTTTGACAGGGGAGAAGAAAGAGCACGTGCAAATGCCTGATGTGAGAAGTGCACAGCATGGGGTTAGTTCAGTGAGCACTGGGACATGGGACACGGGCTTGTCCCCAGAAGCTCCTCTACCGTACCACAAGGTCTGATGGTTGGACTTTGAAGAATTCTGTGTGGGGCGCAGTGGTTCAGAGTGGGAACTGTTCTTGCAGAGGACCTGTGTTTGATTCCCAGCATCCACACTAGGAGGCTCAGAGGTCTGTGACTCCAGCTTCAGAGGACCCAATGCTCTCTTTTGGCCTCTGAGGGCACCTGTACTCACCCCCCCACACACACATACCCCCCCACAGACACACACACACACA